TCAAAAGTAATTATCTGGAGGAGAGGAAGGACTGTATGAGATTCAAACCAATAGTGGAAATAACTCTAATGTATCGTTAAAACGACTGACTGAAAGGCATACCTCGCCCAAGTACTCCATGACAAAGGTCCCCTTTGGGATGCGCTGAAGTGTCTTCACACCCCATCCACGTCCGTTTTTGGTTCGGAAAATCGAGAGTGGCACTTTACGGCCCAATTGTACAACGCGAAATGGACAGCTAGGACCACAGGCACAACTAGAGGAAACAGATAAAGCATACAATGGCAGGTTGAGGGTACACATGCATTTGGAACAAATACGTAGAAAAACACCTGGAGCAAAAGATAATGAAGAAAATATATCTATCATGGCCATTTAAAGTCCTAATATGAAGGGAGAAAACGCTCATTTCAGTCGAAGTTGGGGGTACACCAAGATATTTTCGGTATGATGTTACTTAGTAATTTCAGATAGTAAGTGCACAACTGGTGGCCTCAGGCCTGAAGATACCAACAAGTAAGCAGGCCTAACACTAACCTATAAGAGACCGCTATGTTTAAGGAAAATAGTGACACCACAATCACTACTTGAAAGACTTAAGTAATCCACTGACTCTTCATCTGACGTCGCTATATTCCAGTCTGCAAAAAGGGTTTTCGGAAGGAGGTAGAGGGAGGGCGTTAACTCCTTCGGCTGAAGAGCTTAAGAAAACTGCGTAACACCGTAGGCGGAAACCAATTTCTCGGCTAACATACCTATTTGCGTCTGGTCAGAACTGCCGACACAGAATTCTACTGTATTCAATGGCACCCTCCTTTAGCTTACGCGTGGTCAAGCCTGAAACACTCGGCAGAGTGCAGTGGAAGTTACATCAATAGGGCGCCGCGTCTGATTTCAAGCTGATTTTTACGACGATTAAAATAGTTCGTGGTGCTGAGGAGTTTGAAATAGCGAACACTGGCAATTGGCAATTGCAAATCCGTCGTATTGAAATCAACGCAATAGCGCCTGGAACCCCGACATACAACTGCCACGTACGCCTCACCTGCCTATGTACATGGTCCCAGGATATTCCGTCCCCACAAGAGCCTATTCGACCATATAACTCCATACAAATCTTCAGTAAAAAAAACTGAGTCCAGACATTATCATCATCGGACCTTTCATTACCCACACAACAGTCAGACCGTCGTTACCGACGATGTTACCCGTGTTCCCGATAGCATGGTGGGCGCAGGGACGGTGGCTTGCGCTTCATGTAATTTATATTGACTTGTGCAGCATCTACAGCACACTCTCCTGTCTTACCATGGCCCAGTATCATAACCAAATCAGAATCACCTGAGACGAGAAAGGATGTAAGCGGCTGGCACGGCAGAAACCCGCACCTAGGCGTGCCTGCAAACACCCTGTCCCTACGTGCAGCATTTGTTACAGGCACACATCCTCAATAAGGCCCGGCGAACCCTGACTTAGCCTCTGCATTGGCCCAGCGCATCCGTGGTCAGTGAGCGTCTAGGTTTAGTCTAGTTTAAAACTTTTTTTCAGGCTAGTTTTAGTTTATTATTGTGTTTTATTAGTTTTAGATTTTTTGTTTTAGGTTAGTTTAGTTGTGCTTAGTTTTAGTTTATTTAATCTTAGTTTTATTAGTGATACGCGGTTGATTTTTGGCTTATCGTACTATGTAAGTTCGACCACCAAAATCGGTGAGGTCCACCATTTGCCCGAGAGCAGAGACGGTGACTGTGGTTAGGTATAATGAAAGCAGACGCGCCGCCATCTACCCCACTCAAAACACCCTCCTCTGCTTCAAACGGTGACAAGACAAAGTTGACATGACCGAGCAGGAAACAGATTGGCTTATCTCACTATAATACCTGTCTAAATGCATAAGAAGCTATTATGTTTTTTCATGGGAAAAAGCCTACCTCGAAAGGTTTTATTTTAATCTCGAAAATTCGCAGTCCTCTATACAGTTCCGCATTTTGCGCAGTTCTTATTTCCTGTCGGTTGTATTTCTCATTTGAACTATCGACGCCAAACATTATGTTATTCAAGTAATTATTCATATTACTTTTTTATTTTTCCACGCTCTAATTTTCTAAGTTAATTTTTCCGTTCCCTGATATAACCCCCC